CTGCATTTTCTCCTTCCTTTTACTTCCACAACCTACATATCAGCGCTTCTTGATGTCAGACTCGCCTAAAATAACTGCTCTAGGTGGAATTTCTTCCCTGCTTCCACAGAATCAATTTTTAAACCAGTGAAGAGAGAGAGTATAATAAGCCAGTGAGTACCATTTGCTTCTTTTTTCCCCTTCATCCACATCTCACCTGCGACTCGCTGGGCAAACTTCACAGCTACATTCACAGTGTTGTGATCAGTAATCTGGTCCACTAATCCGAATTTCAGTGCCTCTGCGGCAGTCACGTGGCGACCTGTGGGAGACATGAGTGTCGTCAAGGCTCCATATGAATGATACGATGAACATAATATGAATTAATGATGACCGTTTCAGGTGACCTTGGCATTTAGACGCTTAGCTTAAAACCACAGCATCTCCTGTTTTAGTTAAATAAAGGCAACGTCTCACAAAACTAAATAGCATAATAGAGTAAAATAGACTTTTAAAAAAAATCAAAAGATGAAGAATTATAGTTTGTGAGGAACATTTCAGACATTCTGAACAGGGCAGTGAATCGCTCCTGCAGCATCACATAGTAAAACGTTAATTCACGCTGACCTCTGCTGGTCATCAATGTAAACTGTCTCCTGGTTTATTTTGATTTTATTTTCAGTCACATGTGAAAAAAGAAAAAACCCTTGCTGTTTCCATAGGAATTACAGGGGTAAGCAGCAGACAGGTGCTGCTAATCAAATACAGTTAAATAAATGATCATTAGCAAGTGTGAGCATTTCTATGAAAGCAGGAGCTTTGGTAGACTGCCAACATCCAAACAAATTCACCTCAAGGTCACAGCGTGCAACAATTAGAGAAACAGCAAAAAATAAGAAAATAAAATAAACCAACTTAAGAGCAACATCTTAGGCCTTAGTTTGCTCGTTAAATATTAAAGTCATGGTTGTACAATCAGAGACACACTGAACAAATATGACTTGTTTGGTTTCCAGGAGAAAGCCTCTTCTCTCCAGAGGCAGCACGGCTCTATTTGCAGAATTGCATCTGAACAAAACATAAGACTTCTGGAACAATGTGATTTGGACAAACAAGACAAAGTGGAGATGTTTGGTCATAATGCACAGAAAACAAAACACAGCAAATCAGCACAAACACCTCACAACAACAGTTAACCACTGTGGTGAAGGGCTGATCATTCAGACTCTGTATACCAAAGTATTCTAGAGTCAAATATGAGGCTCTCTGTCCGTGAGCTAAAGCTCGGCCAAAATTGGGTCATTGAACTGGACGATGAGCCCAACCACAACAGCAAATCTACAACACTTGCTGTAGGCCCAGTGACTAATATGCTGTGTTGAGACCATAAGAGAGCTCTGTATACTCAAATGCCAGCAAACCTCAATGAAATGAAGCAATGTTGTAAACACATGATGTGAGAGGCTATAAAGTCAAACTATTGCCTCTATAGGCGGTTCTACAAGCTACTGAATAGTTTCTCATTAGTTTTTAGCAGGACTGCATACAGTGACACGTCTGGGTGCTTTATTATCAAACGTTTTAGGGCGTGCTCTTCTTCAGAAACCAAAAGTTGCTGGGAGTCGCCAAGTTTAGGAAACGTTATTAATCAAAGTCAGACAGTGTTAACTTCTTTCTGCTACCTGTGGTGATGAGGTCCAAGGCAGCCGGGACACCGATGAGCCTCGGCAAACGTTGGCTTCCCCCTGCACCAGGCAGCAGCCCCAGAGTCACCTCTGGAAGTCCCACTCTGGCCTGAAAAGACATAAAGGCACAAAATTTGATAAACGGGACGTACTAAACTGTGGAGGTTTAGACATTAGAGAAAAATGTTTCTGGAAATATTCTTTGAATATGATATGTGTTATTCTGCCTGGCTTCTGTGAGTGACATAAATATCAAATGTATTCTGGACAGATAAGAAGCTTTTCAAGTCTGACAGACAAACTCACTCTTTTTCTAGTCATTTGCAAATTTATTTAAAAAAAAAAACAACAACATTATTATGCAAAAGCTTCACAACATGCTCTCAGATACTGACAGACATCGATGCGTTACATCGCTGACATTAAAGAGACACTGGCTGACAGGGACAGAGATCTGAAGCATGAACTAACTTTAGAGTGTGCGATCCGATAATGACAGCCAAGTGCCAACTCAAGGCCTCCACCTAAAGCGATCCCCTCTATAGCTGCCACCACGGGCTTGGAAGCAGCCTCGATGGCGTGGATCATCGGTATCAGGGGAGGCCCAGACATCTGTCCCCCAAACTCCTTGATGTCTGCTCCTGTTGCATAAATTCAAATCGACAAAATGATCAGAAACTTGGAGAAAGAAAGGTCATGATATGCAGATCAGCAATTCATTATTTTGTGTAGCTCTTTTCTACTTTTCTCAACCTTGTCTGACAGACATATTTGGGTTCTAGTTGAGAAAAAAAGCACGTTTCTCTATTTTTCATATTTTATAGAATGAAACACAACGGTTAAGCAAATAAGCTCCAAGTTAAATGATGGTGGACATAATGACACAAATAGTTGAAAAATGTACAGTTTAGGATTATTTCTATGTGAAATTATTTACTTCTGGTTTTGCTTTTGTGTTTACACCTGCAAATGCCATGTATTGTATTGTTTACTGCATTATGTGTATGCAACAAATCACCTTTTAATGATGGAATATTAACATTAAATTAATAAAAAGGGCAAAAAAAAAACCTACTGAAAATGTGTTTATTTTGTTAGAGTATCACTAATATGTTTGGTTGCTTGTGAACTTCACTGACACAGCCACCCTGGGGCGCCTCTGTCAGTGCGCCCCAGGGTGGCTGTGGCTACAATGTAGCTTACCATCACCAGTGTGCGTGCGTGTGTGTGTGCGTGAATGGGTGGATGACTGGATATGTAAAGCGCTTTGGGGTCCTTAGGGACTAGAAAAGCGCTATATAAATACAGGCCTTTTTTTTTTTTACTTTGTTCCCTTTTTAGGGACTCGAGGTGCCCACTCTGAAGGGAACTCAAATTGAAGGGAAAACACCAGAAGAACAAAGTGGGATCAACTTGATCCAATCTGTCATGGAGCATGTTTTTAAAATATACTTTAAAAAATAATTTCAATAGGATAAGTGAAAGAAGATGGGCAGACAGAGACACTTACATTATAAAATAAAAAATAAAAAAATAAAAAAATAAATGTGCATACCCCCACAGAATATCCCATTCTGGCCACAGATGACCACAGACTTCACTTCTGGCTCACTGAGTGCTCTCTGCATCAAGTCCACAATGCCTTGCCTCACCGCTGCACTGCATGAGGAAAAAGTCACGACTTTATTTGGCCTTTTTTTCCACCCTTTGTGAAATTTGAAACTTAACAGTAAACTGTTCTGCTGTAGCCCTTCTTCACAAATTTAAAATAAAAGCATGTAACAAATACAGGCACAGCAGTATAAACTTTGATAATTATCATCTATGTACTTTATTTTTTGATAATTTTATCTTACGAAGCTAATAAAATGCATCATACAGTCGATTTCCCGTTATGGTACACATCAGAATAGAATAAAAATTAAAAAAAACCAACAACAAGATGAGAAAATGTCTATAAAACAGGGCAACGATAGCATAACTAGGGAGTAAATAGATTCATTTATTGCTACAGCTTAAGTGACTTAAAGTAAACTTGTGAGGTCCAGTAAAGGTTCCAGGGTCCAGTAGATCACACTGTGGTTGGGTGAGTTTTTAGTGAGCTGTTAATTAATCACAGTTCTCTGTTGTAATGTATTAAGCCTCAAGCTGTTCCTAAAGCAGCGGTGGTAATAAATCACCCTGAAGTAAATGCCGTGAATGAGATTAACCGATCACTAAAATGTACTTAAAGGTATGAAAACCTACTGACTCTATATGCAGAAGAATGGCAGCTGCCAGTTTAGGAATAATCTGCATGATGAGACAGCCGTCTATAAAAAGTACCAACTACAAAACCTTTGTGTCTATTTGTAAACAGGCTGTAGACACCAGGGTTTATAAAGGGGTGTATATAAAATAAACAAAGGACCTGTTTTGCAAGTAGCGACTCTGCGCTCTACATTATAAGCAATCCACTTCTTTATGGCAAATTAAAATATCTTTATACAACTAATATGGTATTTGTTTTAATTTTCTACTTCCCTCTTGGCCAGATTTATTTAAAAAAACATTAAGTATGATAAGTCTTTTTACTGGATAAATAAAGGACATAACAGTCACTTCAACTTTGGCACAGAAAGACTTGATATCACTCATGTTTGACAGATTATGGTTCAAGCCATTTACAACAGCAATCAGAGGATCACTCTCTCTGACGCCACCCTCTGGTAAAACACCTGAGTTACTATCTTCTGGTGCACAAAGCTCTCTTTCGTGATTTCTACTTTCGACTCTTCTACTTGTTCTTGTGTAAGCTGCAAATTGCTGTTGCAGCTACAGCTCTACTGTATATAAAATCAATCAGGCACATGTGATTTCGCATTACGAGACACGCTAAAAAATAGAAAAATGCAGTATAAGAAGTTGTGCAGACCAAGTTCATTAAATCGGCTCACCTGAGTGCATTAACGGGAGGACTTTGGAGAGTGATCAAGCCCACGGATCCCGAAACGCGAGTGTACTGAGCCATGGTGTCGAAGGAATACTTGGAGTTGTCGCACTCTCTTTTTTGCAGTGCAGACTGAACTTTGAAACTTGACTTTAATCCAGTTAGCAATCCTTCATCACCTTTGTCACACTTCCTCCCCCTCCGTGTAAACAAACGCTCTTCTTCTACGGCAAACACTCGCGCTTATCGCCCCCTACCGGAAGCAGAGAATATAAATAATTATTTTCCCCCGCCTTTTATATTATTGATATGTACTTTAATCTGACGATTAAATTATAAGATATACTTGTGGGTGCTAGTGGGTTAGTAATTTGAATATTTTAACTGTTCTATTGACATGGGGATGTGACGTCACTGCGGCGGTTGGTTGCCGCTTCTTGCCGTTGCTTGCCGTTGCTATTCTCGCTGACAGCAACCGGGACGTGAAGCTTTTTTCTGGCTATCAAACTCAGGGGAACATGCGTTCACTCGTAGGACTAATTACGGTTGTCGCCGCAGCCAGCTTGTATCTATATTCCCTGTCCTTGTACCTCCCCGCGGGACCAAGAAAGCGTTCTGTCCGGAGCGCCGAGGCTGGACATGTGTCCGAGGAGCAACAGCAGCAGCCCGGCGACTCCTTAGACGAAGAAGAACCCAGCAGGTGACTGGTATATTTAGCCGCTGGCTGGTAACCCATAGTTTGGGGCTTTGTTATATGCTGTGCATAATTTAGCTTTATTTAAATTGGACCCTGCTGGGTCACTAGTAAGCTAATGTTAGCATGCAGCTCATAAGGCACAGGCAGCGTATGTGCAGGCTTTTAACCCCCCTAACTCTAACTGAAGCCTCTTTTGGAAAAGCTAAAGTTAAAACAGCAAGTCCAGTTTTTGCTTCTGTTTTAACTTGTGAGGGTTATCATCAGGTCATAATTGACAAGTGCTGTGTTGTTGTTTACTGTAGAAATGTAATTTGGTTTTAATACAGTAGATTAACAGTGTCCAGCTCTTCCTGCATTATTTTGCGTTTATCTAGGCTCAACCTTTTTTTCCCCACTGAAGTGTAGTTTTGGTAATGAATGAAAAAGAACACGCTCAAAGCTGTGTCATCCCAAACCAAGTCACGATTTTTCCCATATAAAAGTTGCACCAAGCCAGGACTCTAAATTACATGCAGAGCATTCAAGTTTTCAAGCGAGGTCCCATTTTTGAGTGAGGAAACCTTCCGGTGTTTGTGTCATTCAGATACTTCATAGAAAGAGGTGTAATGGGATCCTCATATCATTCATTAGCCTAAAATAATACTTTTGCTCATTAGGTACACTTTTTGACTGCTTGTTAACACAAATGTATAATCAGCCAATCACACGGTGTGAGTGTCAGTTCTCTGGGTGAACATGGCTTGTTCTCACAGCACATCAAGCCCTGAATCAGATGGGCTACAGGGCAGAAGATTACATAGGAAAAGGAAACTGATGCTGGAATTCAAAGCAGATTTTTCAGCACCCTCTGGGTACTTTTGTACCAGCTGACCATTGTTTATCACCACAGCCTACCTGAGTGTCATTGTTGACCAGGTTCTTTCCTTTATAGCAGCAGTGTGTCCATTGTCTTCTTCCAGAAGAATAATGCACTGTGTCAGATACACTAAATCTGGTTTCTTCAACATGAAAATTAGGTCATTGCACTCAAATGGCCTCCACAGTCACCAGATCTCAATCTAATAGAGCACCTCTGGGATGTGGTGGGATGGGATATTTGCATCCATAAATGTGCAGCTGACAAAATCTGCAGCAACAGTGTGATGCTAACTGTTTGACTCTGTCTCACAAAGAATGAACTTTTCAAAGAAACTCACTTCATTCTTTGTACTTATCTTGGATTGAAGTGAGATTTGTCAATAGTAAAACAGATGGTAGTTAGAAAAAATTGCAGTTTCTTTAAAAAATAGCTTAGTTTTTTAAGTGATGTAAAAAGACTGTTTTGGTATCAGTTTTAGCAGATAAGTATAGGTATAGAACCATGTTTGTAGTCCCATCAGCAATCACATGGGTTACTCTTTTGGCTATTTAAATCTAAAAGTAACTTTAAGTTAAAACATTTTTGATCACAATGATATTTTTTCTGTGCTGCCGGTCTTTCTGTGAACATGAAACTGGCCTGACAGAAATGACTAACTTAAATGTGAATGTTCTCACAGGTTAAAGTTCCCTTCAGACTTGGAGGAGCTCCGGGAACTCGCTGAACTCTTGCAGTTCTACAAGACAGAGCACACTGGATATGTCCTGCTCCTCTTCTGCAGTGCTTATCTCTACAAGCAGTCCTTTGCTATTCCTGGATCCTCATTCCTGGTAAGGTAATGTCCTGTGTACAGATAGATCCAGGATGATAAGGCAAGCATTGTGATGAGCACAAAACTGGTAGATTTCTTGTGCTGGTTGTCTTAAAAACACATGTAAAATCCTTTTAATGAAGCATTTTGTATGTTTAAATACATTACGAGAACACATGGGCTAAAATATGCCAAAAGTGTCACATCTTGTAGGTGTGAAAAGATTACATTTGCATGCAAGATGAAGGAAAATTCAAAAGGCACTTGGGCAGCATGCGGTATGCAGCTTGTGTCTCTTGTTTAAATAAATGCGGAGGATAAAAGAATATTCAGATAATGCAAATGACAATCTGAGTGGGCAGAACTGCCAAAATACTGGCTTCACACCAGTGTTAGATCACAAAGTATTTCTCTCCTTTCGCATGTAGAGACGCCACAGAGCTGTGTGTCAGATGATGCCTATTAACGCGGGCTTTTGGTCTCCATTTGTCATTGTGTAGAACATTCTTGCGGGAGCTATATTTGGACCCTATCAAGGACTGCTGCTTGCCTGTGTGCTCACAACTGCGGGCTCTACAATGTGCTTCCTCCTCTCCCAATTCTTTGGAAAACACTACATTGTGAACCTCTTCCCAGATAAAGTCTCCACGTTGCAGAGAAAGGTATGACTGGGCTGTCACACAAACAAAACACGCTGAAGGAAACAAAGATAGTAAGTTTTTGAAATACCGGTGGACTAAAATTAAGTTGTTTTCTCAGAGATCAACTGTTAATTTGGCTGTGTGTGCTGTAAATAAACAGTAAAGACGGCTACGCTTTATCTTATTTACAAAAATCAAAGGTTTTACCTGTCAAGCTATTATTAACAATAATACTTCCTACAAGAAGACATTGGCCATATCATATTATCACTTTAGAAATCCAGTATACTCATTTTTACACATAGAATCTGATAAATCAGTGACTTCTTGTCCTTGAAAAGGAAGAAATGGTTGACAGGTGTAATTTCAGACTCTGCTGTCAAATATGTAGAAGCGACATTGTTGTGTTCCCACACGAAGCCCAGGAGAAAGTTTGACACAGAGCCAGCCATAACCTAAAATTTCAGAGATAACAGCTACCACAATGTCAGCTTTCTTTGTTAGGAAGGCCTTTCTACTTCAGGCTGTATGTGTGCTTATGTGAAAGGGGGTGTTTGCTACATCACTCTTCTTGCTCATAAAATAGATTGAGTCCCACCTACTCCAGTCAGAGACACCTGGTGATAGAGCAGGTGATGGAGATCTGTAAAGAATATGAAATATGTAACCACTGAAGGCAATACTGCTGGCTCAAAGGAAAAAAAAAGACAACAGGACAACGCTGGCAGGAAGTCATTAATCTTGTGAATTCACGAGTTTGTGTTGTTGTTGTT